CTTTTGATCCGACGTTAGTCGGTTAATACGTTATATAACCGTTTTTATTATAAGTTTAAAATTAAACGGTTTTTCAGATAAAAGTCAGATTTTCACGGTAGAACTCCGGATCAGTTTTCGCAAAAAGTAATATTTTATTAAATTATTCAGAAAATTTGCGAAAAATGCGTACTCTGATTTCAGTCAAATAGCGGGGTGTTACATAAAAGCCCCTATTAACGCGGTCTCGGGCCAGCCTCTTACTCGACAAGCTAAACGCTCAAATTCTTTTAAATAATCACATAAGCTACATGTCTGCCTTATTCGCGTGAGAGCCTCGTTGTAATTGTGGTAGTCGGATGTTCCGAAACGTATGTGTAACGCCCCACTTTTATTTACCGAAAATTAGAATAAATTTTTCGAAATTTATTTCAAAAACAATATTTGAGGCGCTACTCATTTTCGAAACAATAATCAATACTCATCATCAATAATAAAATTCCAATAATGCAATAATAATCCAATAATGATCTAGGGAAAAAAAATCCCATCAATAATTCAATAATCTGGTACTAGTGAAAAACAATAATCAATAATGCAATAATATTCAAATTCAGTTTTTAAGGCGGAAGCATTTAATCAATTTTAAAGACCACCACTCGCGTCCCTTCCGCCGTGCTCGCTTAACTAACCTGCATCCATGAAGATCAGGTGGGGATGAGCACAATAGGAACATCGAGGTGCTCACCGCTATGCAATAATTAATATCAATAATCAATACCAATAAAGGTATGGTCGCAGCATGTATACGAATCAATAATTGTCCCATCTCCTATCAATAATCAATAATGGTCTCATGTGCACACCTATAGCAATAGACTACTGCCAAGCTATATACCCAACGCCTTCCTCGAAGGTCTTACAACGATTGTCCGGCCAGCAGGAGCAATAATCCACCCCGAATGCCAAAACTCACGCCTTGGCCTTACATACGAGGATCACCAGCCAAGGCTCACGCCCTGATTGCCAACAATAATAAAGGAGACTACCCGAAGGTACGTTCTATAGCTACGGGGATAACCGTTCGATGGCCAATATAGCTCACATCGAAGGCTACATGGTTCACATGCATACTTTGATCATACAACATCAAAAACAATTAATTAAGGTATAGCAAATTTTACAATTACAACCCACCTAGAAATTGCGATAGAAAAACACACACAAAGCTGGTACGTCGGTTGAGGCTCGACTCCTCAAACACCTACATTTAAGCGAGATAATTTATCAATAAACTATCTCACTATTCGAATTTATCATAAAACCCATACTTAATAAAAATTATAACTTAAGGGTTTTAATCGGATTTTTCGTGGACTTGGAACTCTCTCATTTTTACAAAATAGGACTCGGAGCATTAATTTGGCGTCTCGGGACTTAAAATAATTTTTACAAATTTTTCTCATTTCAAAAATATTTTTAAAAATTAAAATCGGTATTAAAACGGGCTTCCGGAACTCAAAATAGGCTTAAAAGGCTAATTGGGCCGCACTGGTAGAAGCTGGCCAAAAACTGCCCAACATTTGGGCCTTTCATTACAAAATTGGGCCAAGATTGGAGAGAAAATGGGCTGAACTAAGGGCCTAGACCAGCAGTTGGCTCGCGGGCCGGAATCGGGCCTCTCGCGGGCTTCTGCTGCAGACTGAAATGCGGGCCGAGCGTGCGGGCTGGGCAGTCCGTGCACCAGGTAGGGAAATTAAAAAATGAAATGCGGGCAGCAAGGTTCGAACACAGGACCTTTCGCTAGGAACTGGGAACGGAACCCGCTGGACTACAAGGGCTATTTGAGACTTAAATGGCAAACTTTAACAAATGAATTGAAAACAAAACCTGCGACTGGAATTTGAGAAACAGAGCTCGGGAAATTTACAGAACTTGTGAAATCACAGCAGATTTAACTCGAACTCGGCAATTCTATTACCAACGGCGACCGGGACCAGACAAAAGGGTCGAAAGTCGTTTATGAAAAGAATAACACATTTACAAAGTTCCGAATAACATTAAAAGCCATGTCTAAAGGGTCGAAAGTCGAAACGACAATACGTGGTTTTAAAAACAAACGAACGACATACCAACGATGGCAAGGCTCGGAAAAGTAGAATGAGACTCCGAAGTACAACATAACCACATCAACAAGCAAGGATACTGTTAGGATCAACAATTCAAAACTCAGTTCTCCATCAAGCCCAACATACAAGCCCAAATGGGGTTCCACTCTAAAACCAATTGGCAATAGAGGGAGTAGCCCACTAAGCTTATATATTGACTTGGAAACCATTAATTTTCCGATGTGGGTGTTAGAGGTATGCTGTAAAAGCTGTGTTTTGCAGTTTCTATCAATTCCAT